GGCGTGAGTATTGGGATCTTCCGTGGGCATCCCTCCAAATCGATCTGCCGCAGCCATGCTGAGTATGGCCGGATTGATCGCAAAGTTATTGGCCTCCACATTTGGAATATTGATGCTACCATGCTCCTCAACATCCGGAGCAAGGTAGTCAGACATTGATCTCCCTTCAGCTTGGTTTTCTTGTACCTGTGCCATCCTAGTTTGTTTCCTAAGAAACTTGGCTCTTTTCTCAATCTCAAGATTCAAAGGTAATAATCCTTCTTTCCCAAGAGATCGTGTATGCATAAAAAGCCAAGTTCTTAGATTCAAAGCAAAATCACACTCAAGAACAAGGAACTTGTTATGGATTAGCAAATAAAATAAATAAATAAATAAATAAATAAATAAATAAATAAAATGGACTAGACTCCTAAAGTAAGACTTTCACTAATGTCAGTACGTAACGCCACCTCCCCGGCAACGGCGCCAATTTGATTGTTGTAATTTGGGGCAAACAAATAATACCCGGAGTATTCGGGTTGTCGAACCATAGAGAGGTGGGGTACTAATCACTAGCTACTAGGTTACTCATATGAAACTAGTCCGAACAAAACTTGAAGGTGGATTGATTGCATAAAATAACAAGCAGAATAAAATAAGTAGCAAGGTTTTGTAGACAATAGAGCAAAATAGGATTCTTGGGGTCACAATGTTTAATCACCTAGTGCCAATTAACGTTTGTAATATTTGGTTTGGAATTAAGATTTGTATGGGAATGCAAAGTGGAATCGAATTACTCCCGTAATCTCTATTCCTAGTGAATTTCCACTCCCATGGCTTAAACACCCAATAAGATCAAAGATCAGCATTCAATTATTCCTAATTACTACCATCTCCCGATGAGCAATAATCTAGAATAAACTTCCCCTAATAAGTTCCCCTTTCCCAAGGACCAACCATTAGGTGCAATCGTGTGTGCCCTAATTTATGCCCCAACTCCCATTGGTGACACAAACATGACTGTGAAGCTAGTAATTTAGGCCTTTAACTACCAACAACAACAGATTAAAACAAGATTGCAACACAAATCATAAAACCAAACATAAATATATTAAGAAATTAACGAACTAGGCACATAGGTTCATAAACAAATTCACCCAAAAATCCTTAAAGAATTTAGCCGAGCATGGCTAAATTATACATAGCAATTATGAATAAAGGATTACAAATCTTCAAAAGAGTACAAGAATTAACCAAGCGATTCTCCCAAATCTCCTTGGCTTCCTCCTTGCTTCCAAAGACAACGTGAGCCTCTTGATTTCTCTCTTTCTTGTCTACAAAGAACTCTAAAAATCTCTCGGTGTCTTATTAGGGTTGAGGAAGGAGGGATTTTATAGTGGGTACAAAGTTGAGATGAAATAGGAATCTTCTAAATTAATTAGCAAATTGCCGAATTCTTCAATATTTGTTAACATTTGATTTTGGAAGATGAAGCTTTGGAAATTGAAATTGAATTTTGGATTTGGAAACTTGAAGTTTGCGCCTCAATTTATTGCTTCTTGATTTAGAAAGGAGAATGCCAACTTTCAGCGCCATTATGTTTCGCGCGGAATTTGCTCGCGTCTTTCTCGACGCGTCGAGCCTCTTTGGCTCAATTTTGTGATGCTACGGGAAATTTTCGACGTGTCGAGCCTTTGGCTCGACGCGTCGAGTCCTCTGGGCCCCGAACTTGTCCAAAATTGCTCCAAACTCATCCTTAAACTCCCCTTGCTCATAGAATTGACCTACAATGGTTCAAAAACACTAACAAACACCGTAAAACATTCAAAACAAGTGTGAACCATAATTAAATGATAATAGCAAGGAAAATATGTATTAAATAAGCGAAATTAAAGAACTTAATTACTGAGATGATTCAAAATAACTATAAAAACAAGCACAGATGTGATAACATCAGCGTGCTAAGATTAGGCGCATTTGATACTCATTTGTTCATATAAGGAGCATATAATAATTTAAATAAAATAATAAGAATGCAATCTTTTTTTTCATGATAACTCAAAAGACAAAAATATCAGACTTTTTAGGCTAAGTAAAGCCGCCAAATGATATTACTATATATTCTGCTGCGATGCTGCATGCAAGTGGTTGAGAGAGCCCTTCTTAGAGACTATTAATGGGGGTCGTTTCATGAAGAAGATATATGACACTCAAGAAGGGAGAAGATGGGGGTGGGGTGGAAATCAAAATCTGCTAGAGTTGGTGGTTGTGTGAGTGCAAGTGTTTTGATAAAAAAACAAGGTGGAGTTAGGTTCGGCAGTGATGGCGGTAGGAGATCCAATCCCACTTATATTTTGTAACAAAATTTTTTAAAAAATGGCCTAATCTTGCTTATATATAACGAATTTTTAAAAATGGCCCATACAAGTCTTGAACCTGTGACCTTCGCATTATTAACACGACGCTCAAACCAACTAAGCTAATAGGCCTCGTCAATATATTTTTCAATAACCCCAATATAACGTATAATGGTTAAATATGACCATTTATACTAAGATCTTTGATCAAATACTTAAACACACAATTATTTATTTATTTATTGGCAAGAGAAAATGGAATTGAAAAGCAATTGGAAGTACTTATTAAATTGTTTTTCTTACGGTTTGTTAGGCTTTTGGCTATGCGTGCTAAGATTAGGCGCATTTGATACTCATTTGTTCATAAAAGGAGCATATAATAATTTAAATAAAATGATAAGAATGCAATCTTTTTTTTCACGATAACTCAAACGACAAAAATATCAGACTTTTTAGGCTAAGTAAAGCCGCCAAATGATATTACTATATATTATGTTGCGATGCTTCATGCAAGTGGTTGAGAGAGCCCTTCTTAGAGACTATTAATGGGGGTCGTTTCATGAAGAAGATATATGACACTCAAGAAGGGAGAAGAGGGGGGTGGGGTGGAAATCAAAATCTGCTAGAGTTGGTTGTTGTGTGAGTGCAAGTGTTTTGATAAGAAACAAGGTGGAGTTAGGTTCGGCAGTGATGGCGGTAGGAGATCCAATCCCACTTATATTTTGTAACAAATTTTTTTAAAAAATGGCCTAATCTTGCTTATGTATAACGAATTTTTAATAATGGCCCATACAGGTCTCGAACCTGTGACCTTCGCGTTATTAGCACGACGCTCTAACCAACTGAGCTAATAGGCCTCGTCAATATATTTTTCAATAACCGCAATATAATGTATAATGGTTAAATATGACCATTTATATTAAGATCTTTGATCAAATACTTAAACTAACAATTATTTATTTATTTATTGGCAAGAGAAAATGGAATTGAAAAGCAATTGGAAGTACTTATCAAATTGTGTTTGTTACGGTTTGTTAGGCTTTTGGCTAAGCGTGCTATGATTAGGCGCATTTGATACTCATTTGTTCATATAAGGAGCATATAATAATTTAAATAAAATGATAAGAATGCAATCTTTTTTTTCATGATAACTCAAAAGACAAAAATATCAGACTTTTTAGGCTAAGTAAAGCCGCCAAATGATATTACTATATATTCTGTTGTGATGCTGCATGCAAGTGGTTGAGAGAGCCCTTCTTAGAGACTATTAACAGGGGTCGTTTCATGAAGAAGATATATGACACTCAAGACGGGAGAAGAGGGGTGTGGTGTGGAAGTCAAAATCTACTAGAGTTGGTGGTTGTGTTAGTGCAAGTGTTTTGGTAACAAACAAGGTGGAGTTAGGTTCGGCAGTGATGGCGGTAGGAGATCCAATCCCACTTAAGAATTTTTAAAAATGGTCCATACAAGTCTCAAACATGTGACCTTCGCGTTATTAGCACGACGATCTAACCAACTGAGCTAATATGCCTCCGGAGCAATCGCACTTATATATAACAAAATTTTTTTTAAAAAATGGCATAATCTTGCTTATATATAACTCAAAAGACAAATCTCAAACTTTTTAAGCTAAGTAAAGTCAAATGGTTTTACTATATATTTTGTTGAGATCTTACATGCATATCAGCATGTGGTTGAGAGAGCCCTTCTTAGAGACCGCTAATGGAGATCGTTTAATTTCATGAAGAAGAGATGGCACTCAAGAATGGAGAAAAGGGGGTGGGGGTGGGGGTGGAGGAGCTACATGTTTTTGCAGCTAGACAACGTACGGTGCGTGGCGAGATTTTGGAATCACGCATATATAAGAAAAGCATAGATGTGGTTGCCTTGTGGAGAAAGGAGAGGGATTGGCTTGTCCAGAGTCTTCCCTTTGTTTGACTTCTTCCTTTTATACGATCAAGTTTCAGTTTGGTGTGTTGTTCTTCTTGAACGTGTAGATTTGTTTGAGTCTTCTAAACAATTGGGCAAATTAAAGCACCATTATTCCATCGTAGATGAAGTAAAATAATCCAGAAAATTTAAATCGCCCATTAAAAAAATTATATTTATTTTACTACTTGAGGGATTACTCTCCTTCAAATTTTATTATTGGCAGCACACTAATTTATATACGAGTATCATTATGTCCTTGCACTCGCATATATAGATCATATATAATAGTCCTTTCAAACTTATATATATAATCTATTTCTTATTTTTATTAACAAAACTCGAGTATTTAAAGTGTATCAAAATTGATGTCGATACTACAGATTTTAGTATTAGTATAAAATAAATTACTAAATATTAACAAAAAGTGAATTGGAATAATTGGTAGAGCATTTGTTTTGTATTAGTAAAGGTTAAGGGTTCAAATCTTACTATCAACTTAGTTAACACATATATATGTTTCATATTTTTATAAAGTTTTGTTGTGTTTTAATTTTCGTCCATATCCAACAATATTTACAACTATATGTCTTATCTAATTTATTTACTTATTTTTAAACTATCTCTTTTGCTCTAATGTTTCGTTTTTACTGGAAAAAATTTCTGAATTTGTCTGTACTTTTTCGCCCCCCCCCCAACCGAATTTCTGGCTCCGTCCCTGTCGATATCAATTAATTAATATGTAAACAAATCCATATATTGCATGTTGAATTAACACTTAAACTCTAATCATGCATATATGCATAATCATATCATAATCAACTCTGATACACTGTATATATAAAGAAAGGAAATGCTTCTTCTTCTTCTTCTGCTCCTGCTTCACTAGGCAGCTAGCTAGCTAAGCTACTTTAATTTGTTTGTGTTGGATGAATGGATACATACAACAATATAATATACTCATCCGTACAAGCAGCCTCTGTACGTAGGAATCAAGTAATCAGATGCGTTGCTCTCTCGATAGATTTGAGGAGTGTATGATATGGGAACCAAGCATAGCCCTCTACTCCTTAGATCAACCACCTTTGCATCTCCTCCTCCATCTTTTCTACCATCCACTAGTAACCCTCCCCATGCCACATCCTGCATCACATCCATAACATATAATAAATTGTTAGATCAATTAATGCTTACCACTACCTCAAATGCCCCAATTTAATTTATTTAATTTCCTTATACTTGCGGAACAGTTATCGTCGCATTTTGATGGCAGGATACTAGACTCAACCCTCCAAAGTCCAGAACGAGGCTGGACAATTGACTTTGTAAAAGGTCAGAATCAATGACATAATAATGTTCACGGATTTTTAAGAAAACTCACAACCATTATCCGACCTTAGCTTATGACCCTAGCCGGCAAAGAACCACAATGAGGTCAACCAGCCTAGGTTACCCATAACTGACCGGCTCAAACCAAAAGAGTTAAAATTGGAATCTTATGATTATCCAGCCAAAAGCCCGATTAACTTGGTTGGGGTTACCTGACCTAATCAATATATACTTCGTAATTTTTCAAAATATGCTGGAATTAACACGTACAATTGTTAGTAATTTTGTTACCTTTCTTGCGTTACTCTTGGCATAGGCGTTGGTGAGAAGCTGCAAATTAAAAAAGTAGCAACACAAACGTTACTTACGTTACAAAGTTGCATTATTATATATAACAAACTGAGTATGTTGTTGTCACCTGTATTTGCTCTTGCAAGAATCTGATATGGCCTATTGCTTCCCACAGCACAGACGCTGTATCGGTCTACACACATTAAATCAATCCCAATATTATCGTTAACATATGGATCACCACAACAGGCTTATTATAATATTATTAACGTTGTTTAATAATCGGACACCTTTTCACTTTTCTCTTTTTGGTGCTCACCTTTCCGAATGGCGACACAATTTGTTGGAGTGCCGCGATCTTATCCGCAACCTTCACTTTTGGCACCTGCATCTACATTTTATTCAATCCCAATCAAAATAAGCTCTCATCTGATCTGGGTTTTATATACACGTAATAATATAAACACTGCTAAATCGACCGTGACTAAATAAACTCCACTTTTTCTTAGCTATTAGGCGAAGGGATTTATAGTGAAAATAATGATTATATTATAGTACCTTGGAAGCCGGGTTATCATTCTTGGGCCTTTTTGAGTTCATTTTTTCTGTGTTGTCTTGATCAGTTTTCTTCTTCCTCCCTTCGTTGCCATGAATCCCTTGGCCCCTTCCATGGCTTCTGCTCACTGTGCTGCATGTTGATGCCCTAGACTGCACCTTAACGTACAATTATGGTTAATTATAATATAAATCAGTAGATCAGATCAGAACATAAATTTATGATTTTAAATAGGATTTCACCCCAACCAAGTCGGTCAAACTGTTGCCTTAATAATCAAAAGTTTTGTTGGACGGAGATCAATAAAAGGTCAAATCTAACCAATTCGGGGCTAAGGATTATTAGGCAGAGGCTGAAGTTCAATACCCTGCCTCTGGGTGACTGTAAATAAGGAAATAAAGTTGTTCTGAGCTATAGCTTGTGGCATAGTTGTAAACACTTGATTCTAACAAGTGGTATAAGAGTCAGATCAAAACTGTGTAGTTTACTCCCTTGTGATCTTATCAACCAATTTTGGCTTTCAGCTTATTAAAAAGTTACTCAAAGTAGCTTTTTTATCAACTTTTCAAGAAAGTTATTTTGAATCTAATCCCCTAATTTGTCAAAACATATTTCTACAATCAACTAATGCTATTAACTAATCAAACCAACGAACCCAATAAGTTAACAGTTATTTACCAAACACCTTCAATATATCACAAATTTAATTATTTAGGTAGGTGGGTAGGTGGGAGGGAGCTTACCGGAGAAGGGCGGAGGCCGGCGGCGGTGTTTTTCTTAGTAACATAACCAGCAGAAGAAGAAGAAGACAAGTATTGCAAGGTTTTGAGAGTGGGTTTATACTCATGATTTATATCCAAAAGTGGCTTGCTTAAATAGCTCTGGAAAGATGCACTGAAATCATTCAACTCTCTAGAAGGATTATTATTATTATGGTTGGTGTCACTGCAAATGCATGAAACATCATGCAGCTGCTGGCCGCAAGGGTGTCCAGCGGCGAACATGGGCGGCGGCTGGTGATGATCAAGCATCCCGGCGGGCGGTCTTTGGGTTTCATGGCCGCCGCCGCCAAATGGGTGGTTGATGAAGCCGCCGGGGTCTTTGAGCGCCGCCGTGGTGGTGTTGACGAGGTTGAATTCGTAGGCGGCGGCGGTGCTGCCCATTTTCTTCAAGTAGTCATCGCAGTTTGACATAATATCCAAGTTGGTTGATGATGATGATGATAGGTTGAGCATGCCCTCTCCTACTACTTGTTGTGGATGACTTTTGTACTCCATGCCTCCTCTAGTGCTCCCTCCACTTATACATGCCATCAATTTTTAATTTGGATTCAATTAATTATATCAATAGTAATTGGGTTACTAGGCTATTAGCTTATAACTGATCACATGTAAAATAATATTTTGTCAAAAAAGTTTATCGAAAAAACTACTCACATGTAAAATAATATTTTGTCAAAAAAGTTTATTGAAAAAACTACTTTGATCAGCTTTTTGAATTTTAACATTTCGGAATAATAAGTTGTTACAAAAAATTATATAATCAAACACTTATATTGAATGTTTAACCAAGTCAATCAGCTAATAACGATCAAATAAGTCAAAATTGACTGTATTACAAATAGGAACCTATGTTTTTGCTAGCTAGGTTAGACTCCTTTAATTATGACATTTTCGGCATCCACGCTATGTTAAAGGTATCAAGTGTTGATTTTCGGAATCATAGTGAGTCATGATTACCAATTTCTTAGACTAGATTTTAGACAAGTTAGAATTAAATATTTTGTAAAAACAATAATCAAACTATAATATAAACTTTGAACTAGCAAAATTAAAGAAAACCTTTTGTACTCCATTTCCAATTAATATTCAACTTACAAGAGAAAGTGACTCCATAGATGGTTTTGATCGGAGGTAGTTTCGCCGATCAACTCGCCGGCTAAGGCCCCGGCGCCGCCGTCCACCAGCTGCCGGGAGGACTCGGCGGTGAGCACGGACTGATTCGAAATGGAGACGTCGTCCTCGCCGGACGACTCCGAGGAGTGATTGCTGGAGTGCTGCCACGGCGGGAAGTTATTGGAAGAAGCAACAAGGCCGCCGTCTCCGTCGCCGCCGCCGCCGTTACCGGAGGTGGTCCACGAGCACAGGGAGTTTGCGTGCATGATTTCATGCCACCAGTTCTGTGCGGAGGAATTAGGGTTAGGGTTTACAACAGAGGTTTCAGTGCATTCTGCCGCCATTATTACTAACCAAATTGCAGCCTGCTAAGCTAGCTAGCGAGCTCGAGAGTTGTCTGTAATGGCGGAAATTTGATGTGTGGTTTGTTGAATTAGAGATTTTGCATTTCTTTCGTTCGGAAATGGTGGTGGAGGGTTGGAATTTAAGGACAAAGGATTGTGCTGTGACGTAATATAGTAGGTTAGAACAATTTTAGGGCAGACAATAAACAATGCACATGAGCATTCCCACTTGAGTTTGTGCGCAATTATTATACATGGGGCTGGGCCACTACCAGCAGTTTGGTTTTCTGTAGTTTAATTAGGGTTTTTCAATTTCCAATTGGCTGCATTTCAGAAATTGACACTATCACTGATAAGACTTGATCTCGGGTCAGTATATTGTTCCTAAACTTTACCATTGTGACCAACTGAGCTGCCCATGGGCAGACATGTGTTGTATATATGCATGTACCAATAGATAGACTTAAATCTATTAGCAAGAAATTATAAGATGGACTTGTGATTATGATATGATTAAAAGGAGTTTGGAGGTTGGTTTAATTCCTTTTGCTCAAGTTCTTCCACAAGAGAAGTTTCCAATTCTCACTTAGCTTCTCTTCTCCCCACTAAAATTTCCTTACTACCTTCAACATTATTTTACCCAAAGGAAAGTTTAATAGTTATTGAAATGTATATATATTTCATTTGTATTGGAGACTTAAAGTACTCAATTACTCATCATGATGATGAAATATTTTTGTACATCTAATAAGAGGATGAGAGGTTGAGTTATGACATTTTATTTCGAATTGCAAAACTAGTTATCTCACTAGATTACAAAATATTTAACAAGGAAGATAAAAATTTAATTTGTTATTTTATTCACAAATTAGTGTTGTGGAAAAGCAAAACAAGAAAGAATGATACAGAGCGCGACCAAAAGTAATTATATATTCAAACAATTGCTCGAGGGAAAGTCCCCTTTGTTGTTTGATTATATATATATACAAATTACATTGTTGGTGGAAGGCTATTCAATTCGGATCGGTACCTATGACAATTCATATGTACTTTTAAATAACGTAACAAGTGTATGAATCATTTAGCTAATCTCGATCTGGATCAGGTCTAGGAAAAAATAGTACCAAATGTATATATCATCCTTTGAAAATTAAAGCATTAGCTAGGAGATTTTGATGTAAAAAAAAAACAAAAAAAAACAAAAAAAAAAAAAAACAAAAAAAAAAAACAAAAACAAACAAAAAAAAAACAAACAAAAAGAGAGAGCGAGAGAGAGAGAGAGACATAAACTTATAAGTCAAGAAAACAAAATAGAAATTTATAACAACCATCTAATTATTAGAGGGCAAATCCTACTTTATTAGCTAGCTTAATTAATTTATAAGTATATGTTTAAAAAATGGAGATTTGGAGTGTAGTTGTATTATTGTTGAAACCCAAATTGCAGGTGTAATGACCAATGAGGTAGCAGTATTATCGATCTACTTCTCCACTTCCAACCGTTCATACTACTATTACTCCATGTTGGGGATCGGATTATGTGACCCAAATCCTCCGCAAGAGACGAAAATGAATTATCAGAGGCATGAAAATGGCACTAGTGCCTTGGTGTTGTTGAACACCTATATATATATATATATATATATATATATATATATATATATAATAGAGATCGAATGCTGTAATAGCTAGGCTTCAGGTAAAAGATGAGGTTTAATCTTAGCCCTTGATCTAATCGAAATCAACAATCTAGATTGAAGAAAACTTTTAAAAAAAAATTCGGTGGCAATTTGGTGTTTTTGCATATTGGATAAACTTAAGGTGCATCGTTCTCCTTCTTAAGGTGCGTGGTTTCTATACTATCAGTTCTTTAGTTGAGAATTTAAGGTACGTTTTTCGTTAAAACTTTAAAGTGCGTCAGTCTAAAGCTTTAGGTGCGTCTTTTCATAGCTTAAGGTGCGTCGTTTTCCTTCTTATGGTGCGTATATTTATAATTTAAGGTGTGTCACTTTGCTAGTTTAAGGTGCATCAGTCTAAAGCTTTAGGTGCATCTTTAATTCTTAAGGTGCGTCATTTTTCTAATTTAAGGTGCATCAGTTTAAACTTAAGGTGTGTTGTTTTATAAGTTAAGGTGCGTAGTTTTATATCTTAAGCTGCATTAGTTTGAGACAGTTGATCATTTGCATGCATGTTGGCAGAAGCACGTTTTTTTTAAAAAAATAATTTTTCTTGATTTGAGCCATTGATCTAGATTATAGATCAACAGCTCATATTTCACCTCATCTTTCACTTGGGAGAGTTTTCGCACGTAAACTGATCCATATATATAATATATATATGAGACTGATCAAGTGAGAACCAAGTGTCCAGGAGAGAACTAAGAACCAATCACAGTCGTCCACGTACGTGTCCAGTGACAGATCCAAAAAATCATCTGAGTGGGGCGAATATTAAATGACGTTAGAAATGTCAATGACAAAATATCAAACAACCATAATAAGGTTAAAATACAAAATACATTATAAATTACAACATATTTTTGAGAATATATGAAACATAATCAATTAGATAAAATAATTTGAATAACAATATATTCATAAATACTTTTAAATTTTAATTTCTTTTAGTTAGATCGATTTTTTTAAATTAATTCCAATACAATAAAGTATATTATAAACTTGTATACTATATTAATTAAATGATTTATAAAAACTAGACTAAAAGATCATTTAATTTGTTAATTAAATGATTCATAAAAAGTAGACTAAAATTATTTAATTTATCTTGTGAAGAAATGAAATAGAGAATATAATTAAAAGCGTGTGTTGCTAATGAGATTTGAACCCATGACATAAGTTATTTATAAGATACAATTTTGAGTTCAACCAACTAAGCTATTCAAACTATTAATATTTTCAACATAAATATAGATTTTATATAATATTTTTCATGCTATATATGTATACATATACATAACATACATATACATACATATATATAAAGGGGTGGGGTGGGGGGACTGGTGTCCGGATCTAACGAATTAGAAACGCTGTTTAAAAAAAAAAAAAAAAAATCACGCGGTGGCATTTTCATAAATAATTGCACTTTGAAGTGCAAGTAAATTGTGTTAAAAGTGCAAGTAACAGTTTTATATAGTGCAAGTAAAATGTATTAAAAGTACAACAAATAATGTACACTAAGTATCAATATTAAGTGCACCTAACGTTATCATTAAGACTATTAAGTGCACTAATATGAAAGACTTAATTAATCATTAAGTGCACCAATGCTAAAATGGTAAATTACTTGCACTATTTAGTGAAAATAGTTGCACTTTTAAGTGATTTTACTTGCATTTTTTTTACTGGCACACTTGCACCAATTACTTTCACCAAAGTTCAATTTATTTACGAAAATGTCACTGCGTCATTTTTTAAAATTATATTTGATTCGTTAAATCTGGACACGTAGACGACTGCGATTGATTATTAGTTCTTTCTTACATAACAGTTCTCATCTGAGCATTCCCATATATATATATATATATATATATATATATATATATATATATATATATATATATATATATATATATATATATATATATATATATATGGAAGGGTTCATGTGCGGATATAGCTTCCCGTGCGGTTGTGCGGTTAGATCTGAGCCGTTGACCAAATCTAAATCAACAGCTCAAATCAATGAAAATTAAAAAAAAAAAAAAAAAAACCGCGTGTTTGGAAGAAAGCCACGCACCTTAAGTGTTAGATCTTAAGCACAAACTCACGCACATTAAGTACAAAATCCACGCACATTAAGTACAAACTCACGCACATTAAGTACAAAATCCACGCACATTGTTGGACAAGAAGACGCGCTTTTGGTACACGGCTTTTGGTTTTGGTAGACGCTTTTGGTTTTGGTAGACGCTTTTGGTCATTTAGACGTGCTGCATGCTTCTTCATCCAACACACATTAAGCACAATCTCACACACATTAAGCATAAACCCATGCACTTTAAGTATTAACTCACAAACTTTAAGTTTCAACAATTACTGGTATTAATCACTACCCTCACACACATTAAGCACAAACCCTACGCAAATTAAGTTCAAACTCCACTCACATTAAGAACAAATCTCACGCACCTTAAACACAAAAGCCCACACTTTAAGTTTTACTAACTACTCACATTAAGCACAACCTTACGCACATTAAGCACAAACTCACGCACCTTACGCACAAGACTCACGCATATTATATACAAAACTTACGCACATTAATCACAGAACCACTCACATTAATGTTGACCTAAATACAAAAATTACAAAATTGCCACCACGTTTTTTTTTAAATTTTGGTAATCCTAGACGTTGATTTAAGCGAGATGAATGGCCCAGATTAAACCGCACAACAGCACCTGAGTAACCTACCCGCACCAGAACCTAATTATATATATATATATATATATATATATATATATATATATATATATATATATATATATATATATATATATATATACACACACACACATGTGTATGTATTTTTCAACATAATGAATGATGATATTAATGATTTTCCATTCATCATTTGCACGTTCAAATCATTATTTTCTGACTCTCATTCAACTCATTCATGTCAACTGTTACTTTTTCTTCTTTTTAATACAGCAGAAGAATACAAAATAATTAATTGAAATACCGCAACATTACATCATTAATACTAGTGGTCAAAGTAAGCCGAATATAATACTCCCTCTGTCCCATTTTATGTGTCTTACTTTCCTTTTTAGTCTGTCCCAAAATGTTGTCCACTTTCTAAAATTGAACATCACCATCATTCTACTTTTTTCAAATTACCCTTCTAGCTTTTGCTTTCTTTATTGTTTTTATTTTCAAAAGTGAAAAAGTGAGGGGCATAATTGGAAAGTGCATAACATTTACTTTAATTCATTAAAAAGCGTGCAAAAAGTAAATGAGACATCCAATTCGGGACGGAGGGAGTATGATGGAGTCTCCCATATATGTTGGGGAAAATAGGAAAACAAAGAATCAAGAACTTCAGCTATGTATAAATACACTTTCTTACTCCTTATAAGATTTTAATCATGTTGTATGAGTAAC